TTGTTTGGCGGGCCCGGGCTGGATTCGAACCCGCCACCTTAGGTGTATGTGGCTGGTGCCTTAGCCCCTTGAGCCACAGGCGCTGAGCCTATCTATCAGTTTCATTGGACACTTGCTTTTCCAGTCTTTGTTTTTTAACAACTTCACTAAAATATCACTCACACACCTTAGGACTCACCTATTTAGGCATACAAGTTGATGGGGTTTTAGTACATTCATAGTTATGCGATCCTGATCACCATTCATTTTAAAACATTTTTGTCATCCCAAAAGGAAACCCCATACCCAGAAGCAGTCACTCGCCCATTTCCCGCCAATCCTCCCGACTCCTGGAAACCACTACTTTGTTTTCTGTCTCTACAGGTTTTCCTCTTTGAGACATTTAACAAAAAAGGAATCACACGTGTGGTCTTTGAAAGCTGCTTCTTTGACTTAGCATAATGCTTTCAAGGTTAACCCGAGCTGTGCCATCTGTCAGTATTCCATTATATAAATATACCGCTTTTGTCTTATCCAGTCATCAGATGGTACACATTCAGCAGCTGTTTTTACATATAACCCCTGTGTCTTCTAAATCAAGATCACAAATATTAACCATTTTTGTTATCCCTCTTCAGCTGTCTTCCTTCTTAAAACCTTAAGCAAAAGATCTACTCACACTTGAACTAGTCAAGCAACACTTCCCTGCACAAAGGAAGTAAAACTCGATGGGAATCAAGCGGGAGAGGTTTGGGTTAATTCAACCTAACAGGTGAGTGCGGGACATGAGTACCAGAGGGACTCTACCTAACAAACTCAAATATTGTGACCTGGTTGTCTGTACCCTCACATTAATCTAAAATTTAAACAAATTCAACCTAACGGATATAATGCACTCATTCTGGATGAAGGACATACTTGTAACTTTGACCTGAAATGCACAGAATAAACTATGTAACCAAAATGTGTATCCCTGTAATATTCTAAAATTTTAAGAGTCTTTTTAAAGAAATTTAAAAAAGAAAAAAGTCTCATACTTGTCTTTTCCCTATGTTGAAATCTACTTCTTTAAAAATCTAAAGCACATTGCCCCTGCTACCAAAATTCCCCTTATCCTTTTCTCAAAAAGGTTAAAATTCCTCAATAAAACTTCTTCCCTAATAGGTAAATCAATGAATAATTAAATGCTATGCTTTCAGCAAGATAACATATGTCTAGAAGGCTAAAAAGCCTTCTGCAACGGCTAGATCTTTTTCCTTGACGGTTCTAAGATCTGAAGCCACATACTTATCTTCACATAAATATTTTTTTAAAGGCTTGCCATGTGATATGTAACTAAGAAGACAATCAATAACATACCTCTCTCCACTTTCTGGCTATGATTCCGTTATGTTAACAGATTGCCATAAAGTGTATCTTCCATAGTATCTTTGTTTCTGAATTGTGAATAAGGAGTCACATACTAATACATTTCTCTGGGCACGAGTCCCACGACAACAAATCTTGTCAATCTGCACATGATATTAATTACGTCAGAATATTAAAAGTGCCATGAAATTGCCTTTACCCTCATAGGCAATGTGGGTTGGGGGGGGTGGGGAGGATATCCCAAATCCAGCGTGGAGTCTAATCCTTATCTGTCTTTTCCGCAGTCCTTCATTTCCCCTTCACAAAGCTCTCTCCAGTCTAGTTAAGAGCACTTCCTCAAGCACACTCCTGTCTCTGCATCGAGGCTCTCATAAACACTCCTCTTAAAACCTGTTCTTCCTTCATTTGCCATTCCTTCAAGGTTTATCTCAAGTGCCACGTTAAAGCATTTAATCCAGTTCTGGGCACACACTGCCAGCACACGACAGTGCAAAGAACAGGGATTTGCAGGTAGTCTTCAGTTTTTAAAACCAAGCTCTGTAATTTACTGCAGGACCACTGGGAATTTACTCAGCCTTACTGAGTCTGTTTCCTTGTCTGTAAAGCAGGCAAAATAATTCAGACAACTGCAGGTTTCTTGGAAAGATTAGATGAAACTAACTAGAAACTGCCAAGCACAGTTACCTCCGAAACAGGATTTAATATGCCTTAATATCTTTTTCTCCAGAAAAGCCATATTTGACGCCCCCCCAAGCTGAGTGATCATTCTGTCCTACAGCACAAATAATAAATTGGATCTTTTTTGAAACAGAAGCAAATGACCAACTTCTCAGATTGTTCGGGCTAATAACACTATTCAGTGTGACTGTCTAGAATGTTTATTTTCATTCTATGTTCCTTGTTAACCTAGACATTTAAGCCTATTTCAAAAACAGAAATCATTGTAAATTAAAAAAAAAAATCTCTATTCATACTTTATCAAAGAAGGAGCCATTACCAGTAACGCCCCTCGGGAGAAAGCCACACAGAAAGGCTCGCCCCTTACCTTGTGTGTTATCCATTCTCGTCCATACTGATAAACATTGTTAGCCGCAGAATTCAGGGCTCTCTGGACTACCTGAGCCTCAGGAAGCCAACTAATTTAAAACAAAAAAAAAAAATGAAGAAAGCACACTTTTAGTGCACTGTAGCAGTAACACCTTGAGCTTGATGTACTTAAGCTATCATAACAAATTGCTGATCAATCATCAATACACAGATACAAATGCATCACCAACAGGCATCTTTGACTTCTAGGCCTTACTGGCCTGATTCTAACATTCAAGATGTCTCTTCAGTCTTTTCTTAGCTTTTAGACCCACTTTCCCCACAACTCCTCTTTCATTCTGCCTCCTTTCTCTGTCCATATATGTCTTGGGTCATCTGTCTTACTTAGTACCAAAAAAGGTGGTTCTGGAACACTGGGATATTCAGATGGGGTTCTCATAGTGTGGCAAACAGACCAGCAGCATCACAACTACTTCGAAATCCCGTTAGAAATCTTAGAGATCCTCTAAGACAAAGGTCAGAAAACTTGTTCTGTGAAGGGCCAGTGAATAACTATCTTTCTTGCTTTGCAGAACATATCTCTGCCACTACTAAGCAGTTCTGCCTACCCTTACAGTTCCGGAACAACCAGACACCATACGCAAATGAATGGACACAGGTATGATCCAATAAAACTGTATTTATAACAACAGGAGCTGAATTTGGCTAGTCTGCCCATCCCTCTTCAAAAATAATACTGTGTGGGAATATGTCGAGAATTATAGAAAGTTGCAGGGTTACAGCTTCCACATGTTAGAGTGGAAAGTTCCCTTCAGTTAGGTGGAAGCACTGGCTGGAAGTGTTGACTCTTCTACTGGGAGTTACTGTCTCCAGCTCTTTAACCTATCATCTGGGTTCCTCATCTGTGAAATGGGGATAATCTTTTCAATCTACCTCAAACAGTGAAGGCAAGGAACAAACATAAGGTAGGTGAAGGTGCTTTGTAAATTATAACATGCTGTAGACTACAAATTTCAATTAAAACACAAGGTATCATTCACTGTAAGTTGTTCCTAAAAAACTAAATACTTTTCTCTCCTACCCAACCCGCCTACATGCCATTCTCCTACACAAATGACAGCATTTCTCACAGCTTTGGAGAGCTCTCTTTTATCTCCCAATGTATATGCATCAATGAAGATCACTCCATGCAAACAGATGCTGAAACTGGGTCACTCAGCTCTATTCTTTTGCAAAACCATATTCTTACTTTGCCCACTCAGGGTGATTTGCTACAGTTTCATTAATCAGATTACTTGTGACTTCAATCATGTGTACGCTCTCTTGATGTACCTGGATTGCAAAAAAGAGAGAAAAGAATCTCAGTAAAAAATAAACCCAATTTAACATTTACTTTTCCACTCTATTATTCAAACAATGCTTTTAGAGTCAAATAATTACACATCTTGGTTTTAATTCATTAGAAACATGCACCAAAATGTCGCTACATGTAATATCCTTTGATACACACTATAAGAAATAAAAAATGCATGACAGCTTCTTGCCTTTCAGAAGCTTAACAATTTACTTAAGGAGAAAAAATACATAATTAGATAAGTATAGATACTTAGCACATAAACATAAATATATTTTGTTCACATAGCTGTGTGAATATACTGTGTATTTATGTCTGTGTATTTATCTAACCGAACAAGACCAACACTACCTGAGCCAACAGAATTACAACGTAGTAAAAGACATATAGGCAAATAAACAACTGAGTAAAGTTTCTGAGTAAAAACCAACAAAAGCCAACTGAAACTGTACCTCTTAATACCTAGCCTAATAACCAACAAAATGAGGAAGATAGAAAGTCAACTAGTTAAAAACATTTTTTTACCCAAGACACCTAAACAAGAAATGAAGCATAATTTGATACAATTTTCAACACGGCAATTAGGCAATGAAATAAAACATCTGGAGCATGACAAAGAGACATAGCAATTAAAACTGACTCTGACACTCATAAACTATACAGGCGAACTGACAAATTCTTTAGATTCACATGTAATGTGGAGGAAAAAAAAACATAACCTTATCATTTTCTAGGTAAGGAGAAAAACATAGTGCGAGAGGAGAAAATAAATCAGAAGGCAGAGATCCATAGGCCTCCACACACACCTGTTTCTCTCCCTCCCTGCAGTGGAAGTTCCAGAGGATATAAGGATGGGGAGAGAGGCAATACAAAGAGTGAAGGGATGGGTACGGCCCTAACCAAGTGGCAAAACCCCTAAGGCAAGTCACAAACAAAACCCAGAACAGTGTCTAGGTATCCTTACAAAGACGTACATAACCACCTAGGCCTCCCCACGAACTTCCAAGTGTATCTGGACCCACAAACTAACTAGAAAGGGAAGATAAACAGATTTCAGAAACAATGAGGAGAGAACCAACTCAAATACAATGGCTGAAAGAAAACCAGATGGAGTAAGACCCTCCAAGTTCTAGCGAGGAATTTGGCTTTTACTTTGTGAGACGTGGCAAATCACGGAGCGCTTTAAGCTTAGAAGTGACATAATCTTAAATTTTTAAGTATATTTGGATGCTGTGCTGAGAACAAACGAAATGAAGCAAAGGATGAGAGATCAGATAGGAAGGCACTGCAATAATTCAAGACAGAAAGGAGACAGCTTTGAGCAGGTGGAGGTGGGGTGAGGAAACTTCCCCTTTATTCCAAAAGAAGAACATAGGTAATTCTGTTTAAGCGCAATAAGTGGTTGCTATGAAGAATGAACAGACACATGGGAGAATGAATGGATGGGGGAAACAGACTGCCTTGTGAATCAACCTGAGAGAAAGGTTCTACGTATAAAATGATTTGGGCCAGGATCTGGCTGCATTCTTGATTGTGTTTCCTGTAATAGTGAGGTAGTAGGGAAGGAAGAGAAAGCCCCTTCCAAAGGCCAGTTAATCTATAAGGGCCTTTAATTCAAAATACCAAGGAATCATATTTTGGGGTGAAATTTCCTGAACTCCTTCACAGAGCAGTACTGGTAGTGAGGGTAAAAAGTGATTGGATTCCAAATATATCATACAATATATCATACAGTAATCAACAGACTGTTAGAAATTAAACTAACCTTGCATTCCAGAAATAAGGGTATTATCCTCTCCACATACTACTGAACTTTTTTTTCCCCCTAGAGACAGAGTCTCACTTTGTCACCCTTGGTAGAGTACCAAGGCGTCACAGCTCACAGCAACCTCCAGCTCTTGGGCTGAGGCAATTCTCTTGCCTCAGCCTACCGAGTAGCTGGGATGAGAGGCATCCACCACAATGCCTGCTATTTTTTTGTTGCAGTTTGGCCAGTGCCAGGTTCAAACCCACCACCCGTGGTATATGGGGCCGGGGCTCTACTCACTGAGCCACAGGCACTGCCCATACTACTGAACTTAATCTGTTAATTTTTTTTTTTTTTTTTTGAGACAGAGCCTCAAGCTGTCACCCTAGGTAAAGTGCCATGGCATCATAGATCACAGCAACCTCCAATTCCTGGGCTCAAACAATTCTCCTGCCTCCGCCTCCCAAGTAGCTGGGACTACAAGCACCCACCACAATGCCCGACTATTTTTTGTTGCAGCCATCATAGTTGTTTGCCAGGCTTAGGCTGGATTTGAACCCGCCAGCTCAGGTGTATGTGGCTGGTGCCTAGCCCCTTGAGCCACAGGTGCCGAGCCAATCTGTTAATATTTTGTAAGAATTTTTTTTGAGGCAGAGTCTCATTTTGTTGCCCTTGATAGATTGCCACGGTGTCACAGCTCACAGTAACCTCAAACTCTTGGGCTCAAGTGATCCTCTAGCCTCAGCCTCCCAAGTAGCTGGGACTACAGGCACCCACTACAACACCTGGCTACTTTTTAGAGAAGGGGTCTTGCTCTTGGCTCAGGCTGGCCTCAAACCTGAGCTCAAGCAATCCACCCGCCTTGGCCTCCCAAAGTTTTGTGTTTGTTTTTAAGTGACATTGGTCTACAGTTTCCTTTCAATGGACATAGTTGACTTTCGTATCTGGGCAATTCTGTCCTCATAAAACAAGTTGGAAGTGTTACTTCTTCCTCTGCTATCTAAAAAGATGTTGCATAGAAAAATTATCATTTCTTCAATGTTTGATAAAATTTGCCAATGAAACGATTTCACCTGAACTCTTCTTGATAGGAAGATTTTCAAACACTAATTCAATTTCTTTTTTTGTTTTGTTTTGTTTTTGAACACAGAGTCTTACTCTGTCACCCTGGGCAGAGGGCTATGGTATCACAGCTCACAGCAACCTCAAATTCCTGGGCCCAAGTGATCCTCTTGCCTCAACCTCCTTAGTAGCTGGGACTACAAGTGCCTGCCACAACACTCGGTTAGTTTTTCTATTTTGAGTAGAAATGAGGTCTCAAGCTGGTCACAAACTCCTGAGTTCAAGTGATCCACCCACCTCGACCTCCCAGAGTGCTTGCATTACAGGTGTGAGCTACCATGCCTGGCCTCAGTTTCTTTTATTGATATAAAGCTTGATTTTTCTATTTCTTTTTGAGTCTACTTCCTTACAAGTAATTTCTCTATTTAAAATAATGTAAGTTACCAAACTTGTTGACATAAAGCTGTTCACAATATTCCCTTGCTATACTTTTAAGATCTGTGAGCTATCTAGAGATGTCTCTCCTTACTTGATATTGGTAATTTGTATCTTCTTTTTTTCTTAATCAGCCTGGCTAAAAATTTATCAATTTTATTGATATTTTTCAAAGAACCACATTTTGACATCATTAACATGTTTTCCTATGGTTTCTCTATTTCCAACTTCATTGATTTGCACTTGATCTTTATTATTTTCTTCCTTCCATTTACTTTGGATTTAATTTGCACTTTTTGGCCAGGAGTGGGTTTGAATCCACCACCTCCAGCATATGGAGCCGGTGCCCTACTCCTTTGAGCCACAGGAGCCACCCAAATTTGCACTTCTTTGTTAGCTTCTGAAGGTGGAAGCTTAAGTCACTGATTTTTTTCCTATTTAATGTCACAGATTTCCCTTTCAGCATTGCTTTAGCTGCATCCTACAATTTTTTTTCTTTTTTTTTTTTTTTTGAGACAGAGTCTCACCATGTTGCCCTCTATAGAATGCCGTGGTGTCACAGCTCACAGCAATCTCCAATTCTTGGGCTTAAGAGATTCTCTTGACTCAGTCTCCCAAGTGGCTGGGACTGAAGGTACTCGCCACAACTCCCAGCTATTTTTTGGTTGTTGTAGTTGTTGTTTGGCAGGTCCAGGCTGGGTTAGAACCCACCAGCCTTGGTGTATGAGGCTGGTGCTCTAACCACTGAGCCACAGGCACTGAGCCTGCATCCCATAAATTTTGATAAGCACTAATTTCTATCCACTTCAAAATATTATAATTTCCCTTGCAATTTCTTTGATTCAGATTTAGAAGCATCTTGCCTAAATTCTAAATATTTGAGAATGCCCACATTTCTTTTAGCTATTGATTTCTAATTTAATTCCGATGTGTCAGAGAACATGCTATGTTCTTAATATTTTCAAATTTATTGAACATACTGTTTATCCCAATAAGTGTTTCATGTTTACTTGAAAGGAATGTAATTCCTAATTGTTAATTTGGTCAAGTTGACTGGTAGTATATTAAAAGCCTTCTAAACATCCTTGTTGATATTCTGATATTCTACTTCCTTATTCTCTCAATTATTGCAAGAGTAGTACTGAATCCCTAACTATAGTCATAGATGTGCCTATTTCTCCTTTTAACCCTGAGTGTTTGATTTCATGTATTTTAGAGCTATTATTAGGAGTACATACAATTATAATCGTTACAGCAACATTAACTCTCATCCTTATGCAAAGTCTTTATTCATTTCTAGTAACATTACTTTTAGAAAATCTATTTTGTCTGGTTATCAATATAATTACTCATCATTTCTGTTTAAAGTCGGCAGTGTATCTGGTGGCACACCAGTAATTCAGTGGGTAGGCCACTGGCCACATACACCAAGGCTGGTGGGTTTGAGCCCGACCCGGGCCTGCTGAACAATGATGACAAGTGCAGCAAAGAAATAGCTGGGTGTTGTGGTGGGCACCTGTAGTCCCAGCTGCTTGGGAGGCTGAGGCAAGAGAATCATCTAGGCACAGGAGTTTGAGGCTGCTGTGAGCTGTGATGCCAGGACACTCTACCAAGGGTGACAGAGTGGCACTGTGTCTTAAAAAAAAAAAGTTTGCAGCGTATCTTTTCAATACTTTTACTATCAACCTTTTTGTGACTTTGGATTTAAACTGTGTCTCTCATAGATACTGAATAGTTGGAATTTTTGTACCCAGTCTGACAATCTCTGCTTTTGGAGTGTTTAGTTGCTTCTCACATAATATATTTGGTTGGTGCAGAAGTAATTGAGATTTTTGCATTGTTGAAATTTGCCACTTGATAATACATTCTTAAATAAGTGTGGTTATGTGATACATCTTTTTTTTTTTTTTTTTTTGAAACAGAGCCTCAAGCTGTCCCCCTGGGTAGAGTGCCGTGGCATTACAGCTCACAGCAACCTCCAACTCCTGGGCTCAAGCGAGTCTCCTGCCTCAGCCTCCCAAGTAGCTGCGACCACAGGCGCCCGCCACAACGCCCAGCTATTTTTTGATTGCAGCCGTCGTTGTTTTGGTGGGTCCGGGCTGGGGATTCGAACCCACCACCTTAGGTGTACGTGGCTGGTGCCTTAGCTGGTTGAGCTATAGGCGCCGAGCCGTGATACATCATTTTAATGGGCATTTCCTGCTTTATGTTTTTTGGCTAACAACTTATTTGGACTATGGAAATGTCAGACAAAAAAGCAAATTCAAGCACTTTCTTACTTGAGTTCAATTTGGGTCGTAAAGCAGTGGAAACAACTCACAACATCAGCAGAGCATTTGATGGAACTGCTAGTGAACACACAGTGAAGTGGTGGGTCAAGAAGTTCTGTGAAGAAGATGAGAGCCTTGAGGATAAGGGGAATGCTGGCCACTGGAAGGTGACGACTAATTAAGCACAATCATCAGAGCCAATCCTTCAAGAAGTTGCTGAAGAACTCAACACGGACCTTTTTACGGTTATTCAGCATTTGAAGAAAATTGGAAAGGTAGAAAAGCTCATTAAGTGGGTGCCTCATGAGCTGACTGGAAAACCAGAGCAACCATCACTTTCAAGTATCGTCTTCTCTGATTTTACACCACAACAGTGAACCATTTGTCAGATTGTGACGGGTGATGAAAGGACTGGCAACCACCAGCTTGGGATAAACACAGAAAAGGGACTTGAAAGATAAAATTGGTAAGGGCAGACAAAGAGACTCCATGCAAAGGGATAAAGAAGGGAAAGTAGAAGGCAAGAGAGAAGAAAAATGGAAATTTCTTTCATGTAATGGAAGAAATCTCTAAGAACCAGAAGTGAAGATGGCACAGTAACAGACTTAGGCAAAATATGACAAAAAAAGAAAAACCTCTAAACAAGTCTGTAGAGTACAGATAAGTGACTACAGATAATTAATACCTAAAGAATAGGTAGTACTTCCGTTTCAGCCTCTGTGCAGTTCCTAAGAAAGCAAGTTGACAAAAGCGAATGGTGAGTGAGGGTGTAACGAGGCTGGGGCTGACGGACGACAGGACTTCCGAGTGGACAAACAACCTGACAAGAAACAATGTGATTCTTTTTTTCTAGGACCAGTAGGCAAGAACAATGCAATTTTTTAACAAACTGCTATATGGGCTCAGTGCCTGTGGCTCAAGTGGCTAAGGTGCCAGCCATATACACCTAAGGTGGCGGGTTCAAATCCAGCCCAGGCCCG